CCCCCCCCCCCGCATGACAGGGACGTTCCTGCTGCCGACACTGCTGGTGGCTTCTGAAGGTGCTTGCCAGCCCCATCCCTGACACTGCCACCAGCTACTATGGGTGCCCCCCCAGACTCAGGAGGCACCAATCACCTATGGTTTACATGGCTGACGTGTGGTAGAAGAGTTGCAGCCTTTATACTTTTGTTATACATTGAATAACTATAGAAACCAATCCAACTCTAATTATTTCATGAGAAAACCACTTACGAGTTACCACAGATGCCCATGCAGGTGTACCTCTATTCTACTACTTTGGTATGTGTTGAATTTATCTCTCTCTCCAGAAGATGTGTCACTTGACTTACCATCTTCCACATGCTATTTTCAAGGGCTTGACATTCCCTGCTCATTATAGTTTTAGCAGCCCAACAGAGCCTGGTCACCTTCCAGGGAGACTGACATTATTCAGTGATGATCCTTCATAACTAGGGAACTACTCAATTCATGAAATTGGGTATTGTCTGGGAAATCAGAAAATGTCCACAAAATCCATTAACAAAAAGCAACAACTTACTAAAAATAAAATGTTGGCCCCAGTGGGAGCCAGGGGTCCTCATGGCCCCTACAGCTCAGCTGCACAGCCCACTGGGGGGCAAGATGGGGTGCTGATATGAAGGGGAGCAGTCAAGATGGTAGCTGCTGCTACCCCTGATTGGCTGAGAGTGTTGCCTGTTGTGTAGCCCTGCCCCTCTCCGCCAATCATGGCAAGGAGTGGGGCCACATAACAGACAGCTCTTTCAGCCAATCAGCAGCAAGGGGAGGAGTGGTATGACAGACAGCCCTCAATCAGAGGCAAGAGGCAGGGTCACCAGGGCCCTTTGACCAATTAGAGGTATGGTGGGGCCCCATTGCGATAAGCCCATGGAAATGGCAGCCAGCCCTGTGATCAGCCCATGAAATCGGCTCCCTGGCTCCTTAATTTGGGGAGGTCCCTACTCAAAACCGCATTCTGAGACCTTCCATTTAGCTAATTCCTAATCCATTCAGCATGGTTCTTGCCAACATCACATAGCACTATTTGTTAATCATAATGTTATGTGATATGCAGTAAATTGCCTTACAAAAATCTTATACCTGCATGGTTACTTTTATGGACATAACTTGTTATAGTGTTAAAGAAGGAAATCAAGTTTGTTTGACAAGGCTTATTTTTGCATAAAGGGGTGTTGATGGTCATTAATTTTGTTCCTATTCTTTACTTTGGTATTAGCTGTAGGCAATAATGGCTTTTCCATTAATTTGCCCATGAGTGATTTTGAGCTAACCAGACTCAACCCCAGTCATCCCACTTGCCCTCTATGAATACTGGCATAACACTAGTACCTAACCAATCCTCTAGGCATTCCCCAGCATTCCAAAATTCATTAAAAAGTAATATGAGTAAGCCAGACATCTCCTCAGTTAGCTTATTTAGTAGTCTTTGGTTGAAGATACTTGGGTCTGCTGATTTCAGTTAAAATGTTTATTCTTAGTAGACTTTATCTAACATCCTTCTCAGTTACCAATGGACTGAAAATAAAATTTCTCATCTTCATATGATACATGCACATCTTTTTAAATACAGAATAATTATTGAACGCTTATCTTTCCTTGTTATTAACATTTAACCATCTCTAGCTCATAAAATTCTTTTGCTAGTTATAGCACTTATTTCTTCCCTAATATACTTAAACTACTACGTATTAGCAGTAGTTTTAGCTAAGTTTTTTTCCTTTGTGTCTTTAGCTTCCCTTCTCAGTTACCTGCATTTCATATCTTCTGCTTTGCTGATTGTTATCTATCCCTTTTTTCCTATTTGTTTATATCAGGAGTGTCAAATATCTGTATTGTGGGCTCCTCCGTGGGCTAGAAATCTGGGGACAGGGTGAGCAGAGATGGGGCCTGCTGCCATAATCCAGCATATTGAGCCCTACTGGGGATGCATGGTGGTGAAACTAGGGGTAGATAATGTTGTATTAACTCTTGATTGTGTCTTGATGCCACTCACCCCACTGCCACATCTTGATCTGGTCTGTGAAGAGCCCCATGGTCAGGATCTGTTTGGAGGGTTGCATGAGTCTGAAACCCCTGGTTTATATATTATCTTACTTTAAACTTCTGTCTTGACTTTGCCACTGAACCAGGATACGCTGCTAGCCAAAATCAAACATTAACCTGCTCTTGATATTAAGTGGCCCTGTGCATTTTAAAAGAATGGGAGAAAAAACAACAAAACATTCATTAAAAGAAAAAAGGAATAAATAATTTATGTATACCTTTCATCATCTGGCAATTCACTATTGTCCTTCAACCATGTGACTGTTGGTAGTAAGGTAGGATCATGTTTAATTGTACACTCAAAGGAAACTTGACCAGACCTCTGAATGATTTTGTATTCAGGTTGTTTAATAATCATTGTTGGATCTGAAATTTAGAAGTTGCTATTAGACATTTAACAAGTTTGAAATTCTGGGGTTAATTGCGATTAGAATGCTCTACAAAATGACTGATTTATTACCTTTAACTTCTAGCTGGACCTCATTTTCTTCCTTTCCTAATTTATTGCTTGCTATACATGTATACGTGCCCGTGCTATCTTTCTGTGCCACAGGAATTTCCAAGGTTCCGTTATCATGGAAAACATACGCATCACCATGCAGGTTGTTACCTTTCACTCCCTTAAACCTTCATATTAAAGACAGTATTGTTATCCAATATTATGTGTTCATTCAATCATTTAATAATACTAGAAAATAAAACTAGGAATAGTAAAATAAGACAGAAATATTGAGCAATGTTCTGTAGGGAAACATAAATTGGAATCTACAGGTATTTACTTAAGTGTTAAGTTAAAAAACATATTACAACATAGTCATAAGAAGTTGAATAGTTTAACCATTTATGTTATAAAGAGAGCCTTATTTTATTTTGCAAAGTGAAAATTCATTGTAACAAAATCTGTGTTTAAGTTTTTTTACACACAAAGGCTAAAACTTACCATTTAATTTCAGGCTTAGGTGAACCAAAATAAGAGCAATCTAGCAATGCAGGATGGTTTGCAATGACTTGATACAATGTATTAGGAAGTGTCAGGATTCTTGGCGACTCCGCTAAAAATACAAGACAACAAAAAATGCCTGGCATGCTCGATTAAGGAAATCAAGAACAGCCTGTGGAATTATATATTTACATTTTTCTCTGAGGTGATATGAATGCTCTCCCCAGCTCTAAATATCTTCTGCTGCCAGTACAGGCTCTACTTCAGGGAAAATCTCTCCCCCACTCCTTTACAGTGAACAAACAACAGAACATGTGGCAATGCTTGGAGGATGAAGTCACAAAAAACTCGGAGAAAAAAGGACTATTGAGAATTTGACTATATGGTTCTGAGGAGGCCCTAACCTTCTTGGGAACTCTTTGGGTGCAAATAAGCCAGGAAGATCAGGACCAGGGCAGAATTTTGAGGCGAAGTACTTTTTTTCCTGTGTGGTTCCTGTTGGAATCAAGTAGGGTTTTTTCATCGGGAACCCTGATACTCAGCCTAATGCAACTGATTCGGCTTGTTACACATGGAGAGCCTCTACAAGATGAACTTCTTATGCCTGGGGTTTTACTATTATCTTTGTACAACTCCAAGAAAAACATCAGAGCCCATGTTACTTATCTGGAGAAAATTTCTTAGGGGGAAGTATTCCAGCCACAGGCAAAACTAGATTCTCATGTCAGTGTAGCTTCTGTACCAATTCTGAGAGGTTCTTGAAAGTGTCACAGGTCTTACCTGAGTGAACTCCTCACTTCTAACACTTACTTGATGCTAGGTGAACATTTCAGGGGAAAGGAACATTTGTTAGGACCCAATTTTTAGATAGGTGAGCTAGACCCTTGGTGACTAAATACCAAAAATTCAATGAAATGGCAAGAAATTATAAAACTTAAGTTACATTTCCTCATACTTATGAAACGTAGCTATTCTTGTTTGATTTGCATAACAAAGAAAGGGGGACAGGATGCTTCCATGGATGCTCCAATGGAGAGGATAGGCTAGAGCTCAGGAACAGTTATGACCTTATTAGACATTGCACTTTAACCTGCTCAAATATTGACTGGTGTCAGTGCTAGCTCAAGTTTGGAGCAGTCACACCTTAGGGCTAAAAACCTTCTGTTTTCCACCTGCCTAGCTGTGTCTTGCCACTAAAGAGCTTGTGAGCAGGAGCCGGATTAGGAGGTACAGCTGTGAGTTGCCACTACAAGGCTGGTGAGTCAAGACAGGCTTCTATCCCTGCTTTAGGTGGGGGTATGTGAAAGATGGAGAGATCGGTGGGGTAGGAAGGGGGGTGCAGAAACATGAAGCTGGGAGGTGGAAAATTAATTAGATAGGTGTGGGCAATGAAATGGGTGCTGGAAAGGAAATGGGAGTGAGGGAAGGGTGGTAAAATGAAGGAAGTCATCCACTGAAGGATAAAATAAAAAGAAGTAAAAAAGGAATTTAAAAAGAAATAAAGAGGAAGTAAATTAAAGACCTCATGTTTTAATAAATTGGGATTTAAGATTGGGATGTGGGGGTGCTGGTCATGCTTCCCAGGGTGGTTGGGAAGTGGGTGTGGTGAGGAAAGGTGCTTTTGGGGGAGCTACTAACCCTACCCTGGGAAGGAAGCCCCCACTCATGGGTACCCAATCCAGCATCCTACCTTGTTCCCTCCGCCCCACCACACTCTCTAAACCCCACTCCTGGACATGGCTTTGCCCTGCAACATGGCTAGCTAGTATGTGCTCTACAGGCTGTTTGCACAGGGATGCAATCCTGGGGGTGAAAAGGTCACACCACCAGTGGTAGGCAGGGGAGTTGGCTTGGTGTCAGAACTGCCCCTAGGCGGTAGAGCTCAGGGGGTAGAAAGTTTGTCCACACAGAACAGGAGGGTGGGGATGGGGATTCTGCTTCCTGGAATGCCGGAGGACTGTAACTTGGGTGGCAGTATTACAAAGGAGGAAAGAGCATGCAGTGTGAAAGACTGATTCTTACCCAGAATATTCACAAATGCGTTGGCCAGCAAGTAGCCATATTCATTGGAAGCGTTGCATTGATAGACAGCACTTGATCTTTCTTGCACATCAGAGAACATAATGGTATCACCATCCACTTTCCTACTAGGATCTACCGGGGCAACTAGTAGGGTTATAAAAGAAAAAATATTTCTGAATGAAATATTGTAAAAAAATGAAGTGATTTTAGTGTACTTTCACAGATTTCTTTCAATGGTCAAGCATTTAACCATCATTGATTTAGAAGATACCCAAATTTTATCCATATTTAGTGCAAGATGCATAGAACCCACTGTTCCTTTATGATTAAAGCCTGTGACCTATTTTGTATGCAATTCCCTGAGGAAAGATGTCAAAAAACATCTAGAAACACAGGCTGAATATAGCTTTCAGGCAAACACAGATGTAGCAGAAGATACCCAATGAGGGGATAAAGAAACACCCTAATGCTAAAAGGAAATTAATTGAAATTGATTATGAATATTAGAATATTCTACAGCTTAAAAGATTCATGCTTTCCAAATATTCTGACATTAAACAAAACTATGCCTCAAAAGCTTTCCCAACATGAAAATGTCACCAAATTAAACTATATTAAATCAGATTATTGGTAAGCAATCAAAAAAACTCCACCAGAGTGCTCATGGAAATTGTAGTAGTGATTCAGTAGGTGGCACTCTTCCCCCTAAATAAGACACCAAACAATGCAACTTTCAAAAAATTGTTAGTAGTGCTGTCCACTGTTAAACAAGCAGTATGTCCTGCAAGTGAAAAGGAATATTTTATGATCATATAGACAATATTTATATTAAAATACAAAAATGTTACTAACACCACTGCCCTCCTCCCTCCTTTTCACCCTCCCTGACATTTGTGGTCAAATCACTCTATTTGATAGCCTGCTGTCTTCACGCCCTTTCATAGCATCTGATGAAATGAACTCTTGCTCATGAAAACTTATGTATGTTTCATTCAGTTAACCTATAAGGTGCATCTTCACCCTGCCTTCTGCCTGACAGTTGTAACAATAGCAGTACTACTGATCAAATATTAACCATATTGATGTAAACTATGTATATAGGGGATGTGTATGTCTGCTCGTGCCCTTAGACTAGCCAAAAATTTAATAGATGCATATTACAGAATTATCCTACCCAAGGACAATTTTGATTTCTATGAATTTATTATTAATCTCTGCTAGCACTAATTGTCACACTACTTTTTACTCTATTATAGTAGAGAATTAATTATGTGAAGTAATTGCAAACAAAATTCATATTCAAATTGCTTGGTTATGGAACATGTAAGATTAACTCATATACATACTGTATAAAACATGTTATGTTACATGCAAACATAGATGATGTATACATAATGTGTGTATATATGCATCAACCTTTATATATACATCAATGTTTTTTCAGTTTGATTATTTCAATTTTTTTCTCAACCTTTAAACCAATTCTCTTTTCTTCGGTCACCATTAATCTCACTTGTACTGTGTAGGTTGGCAGCAGGTCCTGCATTTGGATAACTGAACAGCCCAAATTACCAGTATTTGAATAACTGACTCTCTACTGTACTACTATGACTGCAATAGCCAGCACTGAATATGACTGCTTCTGGAATCACTGGGGGACTTCTTTATATTTTTTATCATTGCCTGAAATGAAATTTTCAGTAATACATGACTTGGAGCACATTCATTTATTTTAATGCAATCTGCTAAGTGTGGTTCTATTTTATGCTGAAAGTGATATCAGAAATGTTGATGCCATGCTAAGATACTGTGTTAGAGACTCCCTCAGGCTGAAGGCAAACCCAGCATGCCAGTAGAGAAAGAGGATGCAATTACTTGGCTGCTTCTTCTCATATCAATGCCAATGTGTACGCCTTTTCTTTCTGCTCATCTGAGAGCCCGTCTTACTTTGATCAATAACATGACATAAAAAGTGTAGTAAAAGAGAAGACTTTTTCTTTAGGATGGGATAGCAAGATTTATTATTCTCTAGCTGCCAATATTTTATTTAACTGATTATAGCTATGAATCTGGGTCAATGGTTTCTCCATACATTCACAAACAGCATGCATGGTTTCTGGAAACCTTTTCTGACAGTCATTTTTAATATTCAGATGCTGTTGCGATCCACAATGTTTCAGTAGTAGTTGTTGATTGATACTAATAGTGTAACAGAAACATGTTACTTAATTGTGATGGTGAATACCCTCTTGCCCATTTCTTTTAAAACATAGTTATGTTATCATTTTGCAACAGTAGAAAATTAATTATTAACACAGATAAATATTTGATCTAGATTTTGACAATGAACATCTCTCATTCCAGCTGCAGTGTTCCAACTGACTTGGCTAGGCACATTTTATAGTGAATGTAACCTGTCGTGCAATTCAATCCTGGCTTTTATAAATGTGATCCCAAATGTGGTGCTGCACACTAATGTCAGAGATAGTTCATAGATGACCAGTGTTCTTAAGATGCAATAGATCCTGCTGCTGTTATTGCAGAAATGGGATAAAGTGAATTAATACTAAGAAAACAAGAAGCAGTTTTTCCTTCTGATATAGACTGAGAAATATCCTGCTCTCTTCTAGTTCTCTCACAGAGTGCTCTTGATGAACAGATGTGCTCTGAAAATTTAAAAGGAGAATATTATCTGTGTAACAGTCATTACTACTAACATATCCTTTTCTTTTACCTCCTGCTTTTTTTCAAAAGATCACATTCATAAGTAACATGCAAACAATGTGAACATTTTTATAAATAGTCAGCCATTTCCCTGGTTAAAGTTATAAACATACAATCCAGTGTAGTAAACAGCAAGTGTAACACTGAAGTGGATCATGGTTAAGTTTTTGCATAATTTTGGAGATACTCTGTGTGGCGGTGAGAAGACCCCACAGGCTTTGTGGGGGCTGGGGGAAACCCCAAGAGCCCCAGTGTTGGATAATCAGGCCCCCAACTCCTGGGAGAACTTGCCTTCAGGCTGATGAGGAATGGAAAAGTACTGAAAGGAGTATATACATGTTGGATCAGGATGCGGGGGAGATGTGATGTTGGTGAAGGCCAAGTGAGAACAACATGGTGGCCTTCAGGATAAGCTTATCAGGAGACAGCTTCAGAAAACTCGCTCAGCCCCGCCAGACACCAAGATGAGTTGCTGTCAGACTGCCAAGAGCCTGTTGCGAGGAGGGTTGACCTGTACATGATTTATCAGTATATAAAGCAGCCTGTTTTTTACTCTCGTTGAGCATCAGCCGCCTCTTGCTGATCTCCCGTGGCCATGCAAAATAAAGTGCTTCTGTTAGCCAAACAGTGATCCTGTCTGAATTTCCACCTCATCTTGGCGCCCAACGTGGGACTGTGTCCTCACACAGACCGCCCCGAGTAGGACCCTTGTCTCGGCTCTTCGACTCCGTCGCTCTGAGAAGGCTATCCTGGACTCAGTTCTTTGGCTCTGAGGCCTCGACACCCCAGACCCTGATCTACCATCCGTCTGTTTGGCTCTTGAAAAATCCCTGGCTAGGGTGAGTACCTGCCTGTTTCGGTGTCAGTAAGTCCTAGGCATGACAATGGGTAGCGGGACCTCTAAGGTCCCGCCGTGGGATCCCACCTGGTTTGTTTCTAAAATATGGGCCCAGGTCAACGCAGTACTTGATTAAATGGAACCGGTATACCGATGGTGACCCCAAACTGCGCTGGCCCTTAGATGGGTTGTGGGATCATCATATCCTCAAACATCTCCAAGAAAATTTGGAAAGTAAGCACCCTGTTCAAATGGAAACCTGGTACCTATGGGAAGACGAGTCCAAAAAGTGCCATAAGCGCACCCTTGTGGCTTCCTATAAGGATAATGAAGAAAAATTTAAAAAGCAAAAGCCAGAAAAGCATCTTGCTGACTACTATTCTCGCCTGATCTAAGCCTTTAAGGCACATTCTGGCAGTCAAGACCCAGAGGCTAGCCTTTCTGCCATGGTTATTCAGACCTTTGTCTCGGGGCTGTTACCTAGGATCTCCAAGTCTCTGCAAAACACTGTGATCGGGTGGGAAACCAAACCCCTCACCAAAATTTTGGCTGCTGCCACTCATTTCTATACTAAAGCCCAACAGCAAAAATCAAAGGCTCAGGACAAGCTGATGGCTTTGCAAATCAGAGATCTCCAGGGTGGTGCCAAACCACGGCACCCTGCAGGACCGTTTCTCTCAGCCCGACCACCCGGTCCCTCTGACATTCCCAATGATGTCTGCTTCTACTGTAAGCAAAGAGGCCATTGGAAGAATGAGTGCCTGAATAAACCCTGGGGGCTCCCCACTCTCAGCTAGTGCCCTTCCATTTCAGCCAGGCACCTACTGAGCTCCACTGCCTGGACCAGCTCCTCTCCAGTCCCTCAAGGGTGAAAATCAGTATTAGGACAGCCAAGAAGACCCAGAGACTCTAGCCCCTTTACTTTCTGCCTTTTCCGATGCTACAATACTGTTACTGTGGGAGGATGAACTGTTCCCTTTCTTGTCGACACCGGTGCTTCCTTGTCTATTCTTAGCTCTGTTTTTGTTTCTAAGGTTCCCGTTCCTGATAAAGTAATCACTGCTGTAGGTATTGGGGGTCAACCCATTGACCACCCTGTTACACAGCCGCTCTCGTTTACCTTGGGTCCCCTTACTGAGCAACATGCCTTTTTGCTGAGTCCTTGCGCCTCTGTAAATCTGTTGGGGCGAGACCTCCTTTGCAAATTGTGGGCAACAGTTCACTGTTCTCCAGATGGGGTTTTCCTTACATTACCCCAGACTCAAATTCCTGCCTTGATGATGACACTGATGGAACAGGAGTCCGAGTCCAATTCTTCCTCGTTGCAACAGGAACTATTGCCTCACCTTCCTGAGTCCTTTTGGTCCCACTCCACAACCGATGTGGGACTCCTCAAGGGTGCCATCCCAGTTTCTATCAAGGTTAAATCAGGAGTGTCTCCCCCATCGATCCCGCAATACCCGCTATCTGTTGCTGCCTCCAGAGGCATTGCTTCTGTAATACAAGGTTTCCTAGAACAGGGTGTCCTTGTACCTGCCCGCTCCTGTTGTAATACCCCGATCCTTCCAGTCTGAAAGAAGCA